AATGTCCCCTCGAGCCCAGTGAAGCTTCTACAGGCAGAGATGTGGAGCATGTTAACATTTGAGCAGTTCTTTCCTGGAGACCATAGCTCAGTGGCTTTGATTTGCAGTCCACACGCCCCTCTTACAGAAGAGGACCATCTGCGCTTGCTGCCTCTAAAACCCTGAGAATGGGCTCTTTGGCTCGGCTCAGGGGCTGAGCAAACACCCATGAGACAACACAATGGTGAGAAAAACATCATAGGCCTCGCCAGGCATGTGAAACAGGGGATCGGAAAGCTCCCGTGCCTCAGTCTCCTCTTCTGCAGGCCCAGAGTTCTCATGCCCTGCCCAGGGGTGTCCTGGAAGAACAGATACAGAAAAAAAGCCCAGTTCTGCAGAAAAGGGAAAGGATGTAGGTCCTGGACTCTGCTGCCCTCAGTGGGGCATCCACCATCTTCTTCAGGGGCTGTCACCAGCTGCCTCCCTGGGACCAGGTGGGCTCTAGGGCCCAACGGTGTCTTTCTGTGCCTTCTGCCTCCCCATGCTCAGCCTTTAAAGGCTGGACTTGCACACAGGTATGCACGTGTACACGGCAAATCCACAGGGCCACACGCGCCCAGGTGCACCCCCATACTATCCCCAGTGTTTTAAATCTCTCAGGACTGAGAACAGTCAAAAGAAGTAAGACCACTACTTTACACCCACCAGGTAGACCCTGTCACAAAATAATAAATGTCGACAAAGATATGGAAAAATTTCAAACCTCTGTGCACTGTTGGTGCACATGTAAAATGGTACAGGCCACTTTGGCAAATGGTTTGGTGGTACCTCAAAAAAAAAAAAATTAAAAATAGAATCACCATATGAGCCAGCAATTCTACTTCTAGATATAGGCCCAAAAGAACTGCAAGGTGAATCTCGAAGAGAGATTTGCACCTGCCTGTTTGTAGCAGTGTTCTCCGCCATAGCTAAAACCCAGAAGCAGCTAGTGTCTGTTGACCAGTGGATGGATAAGCAAACTGTGATGTGTGCGTACTGAAGATATTATTTAGGTCATGGAAGAAGGAAATTCCAACATGCAACAACATGGTTGAACTTGGAAGACACCTGCAAAGTGAAATAAGCCACTCACAAAAAGATCCTGCAGGATTCCCCTTGCATGAGATACTTAGAGTAGTCAAATTTATAGAGACCGAAAGTGCCACTGTGGTGGCGGCCAGCAGCTGGGGGGTGGAGGGAAGAGCGGCTGTCGTTTAGTGGGTATGAAGTTGAAGTTTACCAAGATGGAGTTATGGAGGTGAACAGTGGTGATAGTTGCACCAAATTATGAATATATTTAATGCCACTGAAGTCTGTACTTAAAAAATGGTTAAGATGGAGGGGCGCCTGAGTGGTTCAGTGGGTTAAGTGGCCGACTTCGGCTCAGGTCATAATCTCATCATTCGTGGGTTCAAGTCCTGTGTCGGGCTCTGTGCTCAGAGCTCAGAGCTGGGAGCCTGCTTCACATTCTGTGTCTCCCTCTCTCTCTCTCTGCCCCTCCCCTGCTCATGCACTCTCTCTCAAAAATAAACAAACATTTAAAAAAATTTTTTTAATGGTTAAGATAGTAAATTTTACACTATGTGTATTTCACCACGATAAAAAAAAGAGCAAAAAATGGGTGTAAAAGAAGGCCACAGATTCCCGTTGTCCCGTAGATCACTCCATTATAATCCTGTCAGACCCAAAGCCACCTTTTCTTAACAAATATTTTGTAGAACCCCTGTATCATTTTGAAATGAATGTGTGTCTTATTCAAAGTGGGATACAAAGGAGAAATATAAGAAACGTAGTAGCAATAAAGTCTGCCTTTCAGTATGCAAATGTGTGGACACCAGCTGCGTATGCTGAGTCCTGTGGTCAGATGTGAGCACCCACCCACGGATCCTGCGAACACAACAGCTGCAGCCAGACCCTCTGAGGGCCATGCTATGTCAACACTTTGAATACTTAAGTAACATTGCTTTTGGGGGTGTGATTCTCCAAACCAGTGAATAATTCTTGATAAAGTTGTAAACATAGTTTAAAATACCCAGCACAGGTGCCTCTTGGAAAATCCTTGCCAAACCCTGGGCACACAGCACTATGTATGTAATACATATATACAATGTTCGTATACATAACATTGGGTTAGACTCTAGGCTCAGAGAATAGTAGCAGGATGTCTTACTTCAGTGACTGCCTGCTGAGACATTTGAAAGCTTGTGGGAGATGCCAGGCCCACAGAAGTTTGTTGTACAGGACTCTGCTCCAAATGGTAGGATCCCTAGGGTCCCTGGCCCCCCCCTCATTAAGGGCCACGTAGGCCCCCCAGTCATTGTGAAAACAAAGACAGTCCCTACAAGAGGCCAGCACAGCTCCTAGGGGCAGCACTGCCCCTCTTGAGATGTCTTATAGAGCCCCACTGCATGCATCGTGAGTCCACATGAGAGCAAAGTACTCCTTCTAGCCAGGAAGTGAGCCAGCGACAGCCTCAGGCCCTGCCGCGTCCCGGGCTGAGGTCCCCCGCACTCAAAGACCACAGCATCTCAAAGCTCAAAGCAGCGACATTCCTGGACATTCCTGACTCCAGAGAAGCTACATTTCCAACCTCCCAACTGCAGGGCCCTTGCCTTTGGTTAGGGTTTGGGGGGATGATGTCTCAGGAACAAATAAATGGAATTGTCCGAGTGTAGAGGTGACGCCTGCTCTCTTCCTCCTCGTCCACTCCAGCTTTACAGCCTGGTGGCCGTCCCCTCATTCAGCCCTCCTGCTTCTCCTCTAGATGCATGTGAGGGGTGGGGCAGGAGTGCGCAGGAGCCGAGCTCTGGACAGGGCCGTGGGGGTGCTGGAGGCTGTTGGGAGTCAGTGTCCTTCCAGAAGGAATCATGACTTGTCAAGGATCCTAGTTGTGTGTGGGTTTCCTGCTAACATGAGAGTAAAAACTCAAGCTCTTCATGCCAGAAGGGCTTTAGCATTTATTCAAGTTTTCAAACATTACTCTCACTCCCAGGCCACCTGATAGATGTGCCAGTCAGTCATAAAAAGTGTCTCTGGATCCCTCTCCCAGGAATCCAACCAATTTTGCTTTCTCTAATAGGAAAAGAAGAGAGGATTATAAATGTCAAACAGCAGATTGTGTGGCAACATCAATTGAACCAGGCATTCATGAGCAAATGTACAATTTATCTAACAAAGGTCCAGGTAGTTTTGTTAATTTAAATTACCTGGTACTGGGGCGAAAATTGAGAGGAGGCTTCGTCCACCGATTCAGGCACGCGTGGCCGTGGGTGCTTCCCCAGCGCCAGGGCGGGCTTGCTCCGCGCTGCTGAAGTGGCTGGGAAGGAGCCACATGGCATGCATGGTGTGGAGATCAGGCTCAAGCAGGGCCAAAGGCCATGTGAAGTCTTAGACCTGCAGATTCTGTTTGCGGACCCAAAGTGGGCCCCATACCTTCAACCCAGGACATTCAGAGGCAGTTGGGATGACTAATAGGCACCCCGGAGCAAAGAAGAGAGGACATTGACCAAGGACAGTTGGCCAGTGTGATGCTAGGCCCCCTTTGGGGTCTGGAAGGATGAGGGGTTGCTGATGAGTGTGATGAGCCCGTTGCTGGTTCCGTAGTTGGGACTAGTGTCTGAGGAGAAGACACAGGTGGATTTAGGAGTGATGGAGGGGACAGGAGGCCAACAGAGAGCCCGTGCCCTAGTGGCTGGTGACCATGCCAACCACGGGGCACCATGGCCAAGTTCTCTAAGACAGCGAAGACATTCAGAGGCATTGGAACATGGTCTGAGGAGGAGGCAGACTAGGGACGAAGACTAGGCGAGGGTGTGTGGCTTGGAGCAGGCAAGACAGCCCCTTAGAGGTGGGCTTTGGCAGAAAAGCCATATTTAGAGAAGGGGCTTTTCAGGAACGGGACATGTGAGAGCAAAGTCTGCAGGCCTGCTTCTGGAAGGTAGGGGAGTGGCGAGTAGCTGCAGCTTAGGTCACAGCGAAGGACCTCCTCAGGGTGCTAGAGTGCGGGTGACAGTGATCCATGTGTTAGTAGCCACAGCTAGGAGGGGTCAGCAGGTGGCATGACCTAGAGCACACCTGTTCTTGTCGGGGATTGTGAGGAGACTGTATCATGTGTGCTTCACGGTCTGCTAGAATTCCCAGAACTTTGTGACTTGGTCAAAGCAGAACTACATCGTGGTAGCAAAAGAATGTGGTGAAGATAAACCCATTGATTTTGGCATTTATTGTTCATTGAATTTTCTCAGAAATGGCAGCAGAAAGATTGTTAATGTTCATGAATTTACAGCAAGTTAAACATCTGTTCCTCTTAAGCTAAACTCCAGTAAAGTTATGGCAGCTCATAAATTAGATGTGGGAGTAAAATGCTTCTTGCTCTTTGCACAGCTTAGTGGTTTCCAAATAGACCTCAGAATGACACATTGCAACTCAAGCCCATGTCACACAACCACGTTCAGCCGTGATGTCGGTGCCAAACGATTAAGCCAAGTTTTTGCTTTGGTGGTAAAGATCACAGCTTTGTCGGGCAGTGGTGACATTACTTATCAGGCGGGATGGGGACAGTGTGAGAACTAGGGCTGACAGTGTTTGCATGGGGGGCTAGGGACAGTCTGTCCATGAGCAGACCCAACAGCAGCCAAGAGGTTGTGGGTACATCCAGTCTCTCCCGGGGGCCCCTCAGGGGATAGGAGGGTTCCTGGGTGAAGGTGTCAGGATCTGAGCCTAGGGTCTAGGACACCCTGCCAGGTCAGGCAAGGGCTGGTGTCCAGTGGGTGTGGCTCAAGGGCATGGCTGACTGCCATGCAGTTTCTGAAGGGATGGCCTGGATATGGTTTTAGAAGAGAGATGTCACAGCCCATGTGCTGGCATCTCTGAGTGCAACCCATCCAGGCCCCTCCCCAGTGTTTCCTTCCTATCTCCTTGTCCCTTACCCCACACCCGTCCCCAAAGGGATTGCTTCCGCCAGTGGCAGAGCAGTGGCCTTCATGTCGGGTAATCTGTGTCCTGCATTCCCCTGTCCAGTAAACGTGGGCTTCGTAGAGGACTCCCAAAGTGCAGGGTTGCCCCAGTGAGGGATGGCCATCTGGGGTTGGGGTCTTCACAGCGGCCGTGATTCCCCCCCCCGCCCCCCACCACAGCCCACCAAGCCACCTGTATATAAAGCACAGAGGCTCCCCAGGGTCAGCTTCATGCTCACGTGCTGATCAAAACCCAAGTGTGGAATGGAATCTTTCCCAAAGCTGTGCTGTGGCTGAATTTGCCCACAGGCCTCCTCAACTGAGCTGCTGCTCCAAATTGTAGCGCCCCCGCCCCCAACCCTGCTGGCCTCTTCTCAGGGCTGTCCAGGCCCATCCTGACCAGCAGGGGCAAAACAAGAGGGCAGAAACTCCCATTTCCCTCCTCTCCAGAGGCAGTATCCAGGGAGCTGTGTGTGCCCAACAGAGGGGACTCAGAGGCGACTCCTAGCATCCAGCAGGGCAACAGTCCTCCTGTGGCTCACCACCTTACCACCCACACCAAGGCTGGCCATGCCAGAGTCCCTTCTGTGGAGCCACCATTGCAGGTTCTGGGGGACCCCAGTGGATGAGATAGGGTCCAGGCCCCCGGTGAGCACACGTACCACACGCTGGAGCTGCCCCCACCACACCCACATCACCTTCCACACAACCCTTCCACAGGAGCTGGCATGAGACATGACACAGCCTCCTGGCCCCCTCCAGAGTTCCAGACCTTGGCCACTGTGGCTCGAGAAGGCTGAGATTGTCCCCTCGTCTGGGCAGGGATACAGCCTTGATCTGAGCCCATGTGCCGTCCCCTCCACCTAGGATTCCACAGCTGTCCAGTCAGCAGACATTCAGTGAGTACCTTCTGCATGCTGGGCATGCACCTGCACAGAGGCCTGGCCATAGCCTTGAGGGGCTTTCAGTCTCACAGGGCTGCCTGGCAGTCAGCAGTGAGTGAATAGGATCAGGGGATGAGGCTGGCAAAATGTAGCAGGAGAGAAATGGGGGCAGCATGCGGGGTGCCTCTTTACCTGGAGCAGCCTGGTGGGAAGACAGAGCAAAGGACTCCGTGAAGAAATGGCTGAGGGTGAGGGAGAAGGAGAGGCAGCCAGGGATGGCTCCTTGCCACCCACCCTTCCTGGTGCCTGGTGTCTCCAGCCCATCCCTCCCCCACTTCCAGGTGCTCCTCTATCCGAGCCTCCAACAGGGGCCTTGACCACATGGCCTCACTCTCCATTAGAATCTGAGCTTCCCACGGCCTGGATGGCCTCTTCCACCCTGCACACCTTGTACAAACCCCCTCCCCTTGCATCTTGGGAGCCTCCAGCCCTACCCACACCTGGAACGGGAAGCTTCACCTGCCTCAGAATGAAGACGGACCCTTCGAGGCCCAGCCCGTCAGGGGCACGTGTGGCTAATGGAATATTCACAATGTCTCCCTCGCTTCCTTTTGTTTTGCACTAAAAAGTGTTCCTTTGATGGACATTTAATTCCAGAGGCTGCTACCTGCTTCCTATCTCTCTTTGCTCAAAAAATTAAATGCGGATGTGCCCATGCCCCTGCTATAATAATCTCCCTCGGCGTGGAGGGAGCGCGGCTGGGATGGGAGAACAGTAGAATCTTCACAGAGGGACAATTATTGAGGGAACTAGATTAATGAGGTGTCATAACAACTTAGCTAGATCTGTGGCTGACCTTTCTCATGGAGAATGGGCTTGATAAATGTAGTTCATTACCAAGTTCTGACATGAAAATAGGATCACACTCTGGGCTCCTCAGCAGGCTGATCAATATTTTATCTGCCAAAGCAGCCCTGGTCCAGGAACACAAGGAGCCCCATACACATGTGCTGGCAGGGAGCCTGAGGTCGGTGCCCAAGCAGCCACTGTGCACAGAGGGCACCCAGGCTGGCAGGAGGGTAGTGGGGTCCTTCCAATGGCCTCTCAGGATGTTCGTCTATGTCAGGCTGACCAGGACATGAGCCTCCCTCCCTAAGAGGCCCCAGAGTGGGAGTGTCTGTGGGCAGTGGAAAGAGAGGGAGAAATCTTCTGTTTATCCACAAATACCAAGTCCGTGGCCACTTGTGCCAGGCACTGGGAGGCGGCAAAGGGAATAATAACAACCAAGCCATGCCCTGGGCTGCTTGAGGCATCAGAGAAGTCCTCAGGCCTGACTGACTCCTTGGGACTTCTTAGTGTCCTTTTATATTTCCTTTTCTGTTATGACCATGGAAGGTAGTGAGGGAGTATCATTGCCCCCTCCGTAAGATAGGAAGTGGAGGCAGGAAGGACAGGGGAATGAATGCCTTTCACAGGATCTCCCGACTCCCTGTCCAGTGCTCTGTCCAGCCTTGTGATGATTGTCATTAACAGGCTGGGGTCAGGCCGACACAGCAGCCTAAGATGAAGTCATAGGCAAAGTTGTTACAGAGTTGCCCCCTTGCCCAGCTTCTTTATGAGACAGTCTTCCCTGAGCCACAAGACTCGGTTCTCAGCCATATTCCCTAATTGACTCATCCCCCAGCATTTCACACTGTAGTGCTGCCTGTGTAACTGTCCAGTCCTGTCCCACCTGCCAGGAACTTGCCATCCTATGGAGGGGGTACGGCAGATGCTTAATACCCATCCAGATCCCCTCATTCAACCCCAGAGGTGGACCATTGCCCATAACACTGGCTGATAGCATCCAGCTGCAGGTACCAGCATCTTCAGCTGGAGGGCACTTTCCGGCCTCGGGACTGCGTGGAAGTGCCAGGCGGGGCAGTGGTTAATGCCCCCAGAAGCACCCTCAGCCAACAAGGGACGGAAGTTGGAGGAAGCGTGCCCTGCACCCTCCCGTCTAAGCGGAGCAACCCTGAGGCCTGCTGGACGTAGCCTCTCCAAGGTTCCGTGGGACTGATCACCCACCCACCCTTTATTGGCTTTCCTGCTCCCCAGGCTCACATCCCTCTACCTTCTGCTCAGTTCTTGGGGTCATCTCCAAACGTGCTTCTCACCCTAGATCCTTGTCTCAGGGGCTGCTGTGCAGGAGCACAGGGCTCAAACTAATAGGACAGGGCAATTTGGAACTGGGCAGGGAGTAGGAAGCTGGATGCAGGAAGGTGGTTCTGTGTGTGCAGGCCAGAGGAACAAGGCTTCCCCACAGAGGAGGCTGAGCTGGGCTCTGCAGAAAGGGGAAAGGAGAGGGGGAGGGAACACCTTCAGGAAGGGCCCCAGAGCAGGCGTGTATCAGCGGTGGTCAGATCTCGGTGAGCTTTTGGGTCTGCAGGAGGCCTTCCTGAACTCTCCAAGCCTCACTCTAAGCTTTGACCTAGCCCAGGCCACCCTTATTTAGGACACAAATCTCTCTTTATCTGGAAACCGCCAAGACTCAGAGGAAACATTAAAATGACTTTCCTAGCACATGGGTACTAGGGTGGGTCATGTCTATCCCCCTCACACATACAATAGATCGCATCCACACCCTCTGGCAGCCCCTGCTGGCTCAGGCACAGACCTCAACATCCCGTGCAAGCGTCCTACCTCCAGAGTTCTAGGTGGAAATCCCACCAGCTGTCAATCCATTAGTGGGGAAGCTTCACTTTACTCGGGGCTGAGTCACACAGGCCCTGGTCTGAGGCTCCCAGGAAGGGCTGACCATTGCCATTTTCACCATCATCATGGCCAGCACCCATAGGGACTCAGGGAGAAGGGTTGTGGTTCCCAGACCTCTGCCATGCCCCTTCCAGGGACCTTCTCTCCAAAGTGTCTAGGGTCAAAAGTGCCAAAGGCAAAATGTGGGGAGGTGATCCCTCTTGCCCACTGGGACCCAGGCCCACCCCAAATGGGGACAGGAATGTTAGTTAAGATGCAGTGATGTCTCAGCAGGGCCCAGAATGAAGTGAAGAATAAGCCATGTGAAGATTTGAGTAAAGAGCATTCCAGATGGAAGGGGCAGTGAATGCAGAGCCCTGGGCATGAGACCATTCTAGGGCCCAGTCTTTCCCTCCACACTCCCACTACTTAATGTACCCTGCGTGGGCTTGCAGGGCAGGCCCAGGGGTGACCCATCTGAAGATAAGAAGAACCCAGCCCTTGAGTACTGACCCTCTCTTGTCCAAATTGATTAAGAGAAAGAGGAAGATCAAAAAACAGAGGCTGTGTGGGCCAGGCCTTGGGGGGCCCCATGAGGCAGATGCGGGCCAGCCAGGGGCTCAGATCCCCTGTGCAGAGGGCCCTGCTTAACCTCCTGCCAACCCCCAGGAGGGAGATTTAGAGGATATCTTCCCTTTCTTTATATTCATCTGCACTTTCCACGCATTCTTTGATGGACATGTATTTCTTTTCTAATAAGACAATTGTTCAAACCCGGCAGCAGGGTGAGGAGCCTTTAGCTAAAGGCCGGGTCTGGCAGATCCACAAACACCCAGGGCTCCCCCTGTGAGCTCTCCTCTCTGCTCCCATGGGGTCACCAGGGGGCCGGAAGGAAAAAATACACCTGGGGCTTGCCAAGGGGCTGTCCTTGCTGGAGATGGAGCATCAGAGGGCGGTGAGGACGTCCCAGTGAGAGGGCTTGGACTTCAACTAAAATGGCCATCTCCGTGGGTGCAGAAATGGCACCATTGGGCATCTTTCCTCTGGTTCTCACAACTCCCCGACATGCTGGGAACACTAGAGGAGCTCGAGGACACTGGCCCAATGGTTTCATTATCTGAGGCTAAGACTCATGTCAAGGGCAACTGCTTCTGAAGTAAAGAAGGATTTAAGATTGTCTCCCAGCAGCACCCCACTTCATCTTGATTGCCTGGCATCCTGCCTCAACCCCACTCTTCCCTCCCTCCTTGCTGCTCCCTCGGCCCCCACACCAGCTTCCTCCAGACACTCTGCCCCTTGCTCCTGCCCTGTGTGCCCTGCTGCCCAGCATGGTCTTCCCTTCTGTCCCTCATCCTTCAGGGCTCATCCTAGATGTCCCTCCCCAAGGGAGGCCGTCTTCACCCCAGCCCTGTGAGCACCCCCTCTGCAGGCACCTCTGATGCCCAGGACTAGAAGTCCGTTGTGTCCCAGCATGCCAGCGGCATCTGAGACATGCTTTGTGAATAAATGCTGACAAAGGGTGGGAGGGAAATGGCCTGTGTGAGCCCTAGCAGGGGGCAAGACCGGGGGCTCAGGGAGTAGACCCTTCCCCCACCCCTTTCCCCCCAAGTTCATTTCTAGACATGTAGCTACCTTCCTGTGAGGAAGGTTGGAGGGACCAGGAAGGATAAGACACCCCCCTACACACCCATCCTGCTTAGCCTGGCCCATCCCTCAGGTGGCCATGCTGTGCATGGTCCCTGCAGACTGTCCACACAGCAACCTCCTTCCCATCCATACTACTTGTGTCCTGTGTCCTGACTTCTGCTCCATCCCACCCTGCTGGGGGCTGAGGGGTGAAGATTGGGACAAAATTCTTCTTCATGCCCAAAATAAACTTTTAGGCCCAGGAAGAAGAATAAACTAGAATAAACTAGGCCCAGGAAGAAGAAGAACCCAGCAGACTACCACAGCTTCCCCTGGGCAGGAGAGATTCTGTAGTGGGACAAAGCCCCTGATTCCAATGCTGTGCACTTCTGAGGCCTGGAGAGTCTGGTTTGCCAGGTGGGAGCCCTGAAAACTCCTGGAAATGGATATCCTCCCAGACCAGAGAGAGGTACTGGCCAGGTTAGGGAGATGGGAGAGCCTTTCTCATCAGAGCGTGGAGACTCCCAGGGAGCAAATAAATTTGATTATATTGAACACAGAAATTGATTTTTTTCTAAATAAACATGTGGGAGAAAATGGTAACAGGCATCTGTTTCTGACGAGAATCAATTGACCCCCAAATTAGAAGAAAATCTGGAAACATAAACAAGCACAAGAAAAAGTGGCTGGGTGATCCAGGCTTGTCTAGTGAGGGAGGGAGGGAGGGAGGGAGGGAGACAGACAGACAGACAGGCTTCCCCGTGAGCCTTTCTCCACCAGGTAGCTTCCTTGTTTGTTGCTCTTTAGCAAATGTGCCTTTAGTAATGAGGAAGGGACAGTAGCTATCATTTTATGAGTGCTTGCTTGGTGTCACGCCAGTGCTGAGCCCTTTATGTGCGTATCTTATCTAATCTTTGTAACAGCCCCATGTGGAAGGCACTCCTCTCCCCACCTCACAGATGAAATCACAAGGCTCATGTTCAGGCGACAGCAAACCCAGGACTCAAAGTCAGTGGACTCCAGAGCCAAGTGCTCCCAAGCATGGCTTGATATTGACTCTCCAACCCTGAGCTATTACCTGGGCCCTCCCCTGGCCTTGGAATTGAGGGGAAGAGCCCCAGGCCCAAGGGTCCCTTCCAAGCAGCACACATTGGTCTTCGATGGGGTTGACAGTGAGGCACCCACGCTGCTTCCCCGGGACTTAGCAAAGCCAAGGGCCAAAATCCTTCCCCCCTTTACCACCTGGGAGGTGGAGCTAGAGGAGCTATGCTGCTCTGCTAACAGCCCCAGAGCCTCAGCTCTGGGCTGAGCCCTGTGTGGTGTTCGCCCCAGTGGGCCCGTCCCCAACACGATAAACTACATCATGTCACAGCCCATCACAGGCCTCATTTGCCAAAACACCGCGCGGTTCTGAGTTTGTTCCGCAAGCATGTCTGAGATAAAGGACCTAAGAGTCAGGGGCTGTGTGCTTCGGTTTTAATTTCTTAAAGCTCCCTTTTGTTTCTTGGTCATAGACTTGTGTACACGTTTGTTTTGAAGTAATCCAGCTCTGGGGACGTACCTAATTAACTTAAGCAGGGCTTATTAGTCCTGTTAACTAAAATTCCCTAATCTATGAGGCCAAGTTTTCAAAAGCAGCCTTTAAGGCAGGATTAAGGCAAAGACGAGCTATTACAAAATAGAAATGGGGCCAGTTTTCCTAAATCTGCTGTGGGGCTGCCGCTGTGAATTGGCCTGGATGAACTTCCCCGTTGTATCTGGCAGAGTTGCTCCGTGTCTGGCCTATAGTAGGTGTTCAGTAAACATTTGTGGGGTGAGCAGACTGGCCCCTCCTAGCATGTGTATCCTGTGAAACATATATTCAGAGTTTTCCTGAGCCCACATATCAATGGGATGGGTTAGCAGGCGGATGGACAGACAGGCCCCATCTACTCCTGGTACAGCCTGCACTGCCTGTGCTAGATGCTCAAGGCCTCCTTGTAAGCAGGAGGCACAACATTCTCTCAAGACCAAGGGAGGAGTCTGGCTGCATTGACCTCACGCTATCTTCCAGATGACCCGTGCACCATGGCCGACTATGCCCGCCTGAAGAATGTCCTCCTGGCGCTCCAGACCCACCGGCGACCAGTCCCAGAAGGGGGCAGCCGACAAGACCCTGCCTCCCAGAAGCGCCTCCTGGTGGAATCTCTATTTACAGACTTGGATGCAGATGGTGACGGCCACCTCAGCAGCTTGGAGCTGGCTCAGGTGGGTACCGCAAACGCGGAACACCGAATCACGGAGGAGTCCAGGTTCCTCTGCAGTGTGTAGATAAAGACAACCAGAAGATCCACACAAGCACAGGCATTTGTAACTGTCGCTCTAACTGGAGAGGTCTCTCTCCTGCAAGAAGCAGCCTTTCCCCCGGGAGTCAGAGAGCTTGTGTTCAGTGCCTCTGAGAGGATCTCAGTGTCTTCTTCCCACCCGCCACCTTCAGCCACTATTTGCCAGCAAGCTTTGAAGCACTGTCAGCTAGCTGGCAAACACACACTTCAGAGGGGCTAGTCTCAGACATTTTCATCAGGAAGTAACTCTTCTCTTCCTGGAACCCTCTCCTCTGCTTAGCAGGAACGTTGAAGGGAAGTAGCTCTCGCTTCCACCAAGCACCTTGGGAGCTCTTTTTTTTTTTTTTTAAACAAGGTAACAGCGGCTTTTATTTTTTAGTTTATTAATTCATTTTGAGAGAGAGAGAGAGAGAATGGGAGAGGGGCAAAGAGAAAGGGAGGGAGAGAATCCGAAACAGGCTCCACACCGTCACTGTGAAGTCTGACACAAGGTTTGATCCCCAGAACTGTGAGACCATGACCAGAGCTGAAATCGAGAGTCAGGTGCTTAACCGGCTGGGCCACCGGGGCACCCCGAGGACCTGTGCCATTCTTTAGGGCCCAGCCTGCTTTGCTTTGCAGGAAGCCCTGCATCCACCTGTAAGCTGTGCTCTTCCACTTGAGCAGACACTCAGATTGGACCCTGTGGTTTGCCCTCCCTCCACAAGCCCAGCACATGTGTCCCTTTCTCCAGGTCTGAGGTGGTGCCGGGCAGTTATTGTCTGCAGCAGAAAGTGAAGGAGTAACCCAAGGCACCAGCCCCTGAGAGCTGCAGAGAAGGCCTCTAGGATGCTGGTGCGGCCGGGAGGGCCAAGTAGGCCAGAAGGACCTGCATTCCTGCTCCCGTTCTGCTGGTCTCCCTCAAAGGGCCTGGAGCCTCCCTGGGCAGGTGCAGAGATATGCAAGGAGGGTGAGGTCGGTCGCCTCATGAGGACTGGTGGGGCGGGGGAGCTCTTCCTCAGAGCCCACAGAGTGCCCACCCAGAGGAGAGATAATATAGATGAGTCCCCACCTTCGATGCCACTTTGAAGACATCCTTCACACGGCACAGTGGCCTTATCAAATCTGTGGCCAGGTCACTAGGAAGGGCTGGGCTGAAGAGTGCCCTACCTTTACTGAGCATCTCCTGTGTGCATGGCACTAAGCAAGGCCCTTGACTAATGACATAAGAAACACAAGAGAGTCCCTTACTGTGTCATGTAGTAGCTAGGAATTCAGACATGCTGGTCAAGCTTCCTGAGTTGAAGCACCACCTCCAGTATCTACTAGCCAGTGGGTCTTAGGAGAAAAGCTCACCTCTCTGGGCTTCCGTTTCTTGTCTGTGACCATCACAGGGTCAGCAGGTAGATGAAAGGAGCTAGGGCATGTGAAGTGTTCAGCATGGTGCCCGGCACATGCTACCATCCCAGTGGTGATCAACGTCCATGCCATTATCACTGTCTTTGCTATTATTGTGTCCCCCTTAAACCTTTTGGCCACCCTCTGCTGTAGGAGGTACTCCTGTTATCCCTACTTCACAGATATTTTTAGATGAGAAAACCAAGGCTTCAAGAAATGAAGCAACTTGCCTGAGTTGTGTTCACTATTGAGAACACAATGGAGCTCAGGCAAACCCAGGTGGGCTGGGGCAGCTGGGTGGTCCAGTCAGTTAAGCATCTGACTTCACCTCAGGTCATCATGAGTTTTAGTCCCTCATCGGGTGAGCAAGAGCCCTGTTTCTCTCTCTCTCTCTCTCTCTCTCTCTCTCTCATTCTCTCTCTGCCCCTTATGGGATTGTCTCTCCCTGTCCCTCTTCCTTCACTTGTGCCCTCTCTCCCCAAAACAGACAAACACGGGTGGGCTGTTGCTTGCACACCTGCTAATCTCACAGCACAAGGGTCTCCCTGGGGGAGAATGGCTCACACAAGAGGGCTCCACCTTGTCCTCCTAAGGTCTGTGAGGCCAGCAAGTGCCCACAAAACCCAAGTACATAGCAGTCACCTGGAGGCTTTGCCACGCAGGGTCCCCTCTCAAAGCCCCTCTACTCCAGCAGGTCCCGAGGCTGCTTGCAGAGAAGTCGCTGGGAAGCACAGAGCTGAAGGCACCCCGCTGTGCCCATCTAGCCCTGGGCAGCACGTGCCAGTCCATCCGGAGCCTGCCAGGAGGCTTGCTGCCCACTGCCTCCTGGGCACACACCGTCCCAGCCCTGGCAGCCATCACATGACCACCTCCAGGCAGACTCGGCTCCCAGCTATGACTAAGATCCCAAAGAGCAGGGCCAGCCACTGGCAGATGACCCAGCCTCTCTGAGAAAAGGCCAGGTCCTGTCGGTTACAGGTACCTCGCAAGAACAACCATCTGGCAGGTCCCGGCGCTACAGGCTGTTCAGGGATCACCGAGAACAGGTGGATTTGGCTTGTCTTAGACGGAAGCAGCTGTGAGCTCTCACCGCCCCAGCCCCACATGGCTCCCCGGTGCTGACAAGCAAACAGAACCTTCCTGGGCTTGTTGCTCTAACCTGGCAAGCACGTGCTCCAAGGCACCTGAAGCCATTAACAAGCATGGTAATTGGACTATGATTTCCTCTTTAAAACGTAGTGTATTTAAAGTCCATTTCATAAAACTGCCAAGCAGAGCCCAGCTAATCGCGGCCTTTCCTTGACACTAAATCAAATGTGTCAGGGAAAAACCTGTCCGTCCCACTGAAAGTTAATCAATTTCCAATGCAGAAATAGACAAGGGGAAATTTCTATCTTTGGAAGATTGATTTCTGGCGTTATGGTTGATCTCCCTTTTATTGAACACTTACTTGCTAGGTGAAGGGTCATTTTTTTTTTTTTAACGTTATCACATTAAATTGCCTTTAACACAGCAGGCCAAGCTGAAACTGTTAAATAAAGAGAAAATGTCTCTGTCCCCCTCTCCCCACAAAATAAAATGAGATCATTTCCTTTCTTCTGAGATTTCATTCTCAGCATTTTCCTTGCAGGACTTTTAGTCCCAGAAACCCCAGCCTCTGGGTCCAGCTGAGTGAGGGTGCCTGGAATTTCCACCCTTAGTCACCTTTCGGCATCTGGCTGGTCTTGCTGGTGAGGCCATGTCCAGAGAATAGTTCATAAAGGCCCATCCGTGGTAGCACCATGCGAGAATCCCAAAGCAGGCCTTTGTTCCCCTGGCAGAATGAGGCAGGCAGAGGCATGGAGCTTAGGCAAAGTCAGCAGAATGGCACCTGCCCCTTTCTGGGGGGACTGGTGCTGTGACTAGAGGTGCTGCCCTGAGATAGGTGAGGGCTTTTGGGGTGCAGGATTAGGCAGGCACGCACTGATGGAGCAGTGACCTTCTAGCTCTATGAAACTAGGAGCCAGGAGGGCCTCAGCTGAGCTCAGCCACTGTTTCTTTGCTGAGGTTCTCTGATCAGGCGCCTTCTCTTCCCTGTGTCCCTATCTGTAGCATGAAGGGGTAGACCAGGACCCTCAAAGACCCTTCCCAACTGAGACCGTCTGGGATCTGTCTGCCCAGATCAGGAGAAAACACACCTGAATGCTCATCCCAACCCTGCCCCAACCACCCTGTGACCCTGGGAAAGTCCCTGCCCTCTCTGAGCCTCAGCTTTCTCATCTATAGAATGAGAGGGTCAGGGAAGACAAAACCACAGAGCTTTGGGTGCCCCCCATGGCCCACTGAGCTGGCACTGGAGTCCTTACCCCTCCCTCGGGCAGTGACCGCAGTCCCTCTTGGCGGGAGCCATTCTCCAGCCATGCCCACAGCCCTGCACTCACTCCCTGCTCTGGCCTCATCCCTTTCCTCACCCACAGCACGTGCTGAAGGAGCAGGACCTGGAGGAGGGCTTCCTGGGGTGCTTGCCGGGCGACCTCCTCCGATTTGATGACTACAACAGTGACGGCTCCCTGACCCTCCACGAGCTCTACACAGCTTTCCGTAAGTCAGCCCCAATGCAGGGCGTGTGCGCGGACGGGCTTGTGTTGTCCACAGGCGGGCCTGTGTCTCCGGGTTGCAGGGCTCTGGAGTCTATCGTCGGTTGTATCCATCGGTGGTTTCTTTCACACATGAAATCAGCTGAATTTGTTTTACAGTGAGCCTGAGCTTTAAGAAAAGGGTAAAGGAACGTGGGTGGGAAGACGGAGCACTTGCTCTGCTCATTTTAGATAAAGGCCCTTAATGGTGTCATTGAAGGAATCGAGGACTATGATTTAAGTGTGGCTGGGAGGGCACTGCCAGACACCTGAGGGAGTCTATGACATGCATGGAGGGCACAGCTTTTCGGGATTTCTCCCGGCTGCAGATCCTGCAGGAGGGTTCTGGAAGCTTGGCCAGCAGGACGAAGAGCCTTCAGTAGTGAGCTCACAGAGTTCAGCAGGGAGGAGAGGGGAGGGCGGTGCTGACCCCAAACTTGAGACAGGAGAGAACACTCTTGGCCCCAAAGAGATGAAGCCTCTTTACAGCAGATATCAGTCAGCCTCTGCTTAAAGCAGGTGATATGTGCATCCTGTGTGAGGCACCCTTGGACATGACCTGTAAGCTCACTGCTCCTACCAGTACACTCTGGAATTTGGGGAATAGGTGTGAGACCTCCCGGGATGCACTGAGTACTTGCAACCACAGATCCTCGAGTCCTCTCCCCCCGAACCTCACCCTCTACTTGGAGTTCCACTTTTGAGAAAAATATGCCTGCTTCGTGTTGACATTTGGTACTGTTAGTGCAAACATTCGCAAGGCCTAAGAAGTAGTCCTGGTGAATCACTGGCAGAAGGGGCTCTTGTGGCAGAGAGAGGAGGTACTCATATGGCATGAGGAGAGAAACGAGGGAGACTCTTTCCTGTGGAAAGTCCATGGGCTTGACTTGGCGGTGGGGGCAGAGGGGAGGGGTGCCTTTCCAGTTCACTGCTTCCCTGTTGCTGACGCTCAAAGTCAAACCCCCAGCTACAGGGCTCTGCCTGATGTACTGTGACTACGTACCCATCCTTCTTCTCCCCGCCCGCTCCTGAAACTCCTATCGACGTACAGGCGTTCATAATAAGGTGTGAATGACTGGTAGGCTTAACCCACTGTGGGAGGTGTTCACCCTGTGGATAGAGTAATTTATGCCTTAAACAAATCTCTACATTTTAGAATGTGTAGCAATATCAGCAAGTCCCTAGACCTAGCTCATGAGAGCCAATGACTAGATTTTCAAGAGTCTTGCAGTTAACCAGTTGGTAGCTTTAAGTCAGCTAATCCCAAATGTAGGGAAGATTTACACCACAGAAATTCATACCACACAAATGCTACAAAAGTGGGGGCACTTTTTTCCTCTGGAGAGCCAACTGTTAGGCACTGACCTGCACATCACTAGACAAGAGCCTTCCTCCTGTCCTCAGCGCCCCCTCCTGCAATAACTTTCCACCTCCCTCACATAGGGACTCCTGGTGCTTCTCATCCCATAGAACATGAACAGGAAAAGAGGCGATGACAGGGAGAGTATCCCTGCATGTCAGGAAGGCACCCACCAGTGTCCTAGGTGTGGCTCTGAGACATTCCCAGCAGTGCTTTCTGCACTTGGGCCCGTTTGCAGAAGATACTGTGAAAGAAGAATTCAGTGCATAGAGCCAGGGACCAAGGCTGGACTTCAAGGACTTGGAGGATGCACCAGGCATCACTACTGAGGTGTCCCATGATGATATCATGAAGCCGAGGATGGCTCCGCTTTGGACCGTCCTGGTACCTGGTGCCACAGAAGCCTATTCTCCATGAGTTCTGTTTCTGCGAATCAGTCGGGGCCCAAGAGCAAACTATTGGCTTTACTCTTGAGGAAATGCAAGCATCCCAGTTGCCCACGATGAAAAAGAAGGCTTCCCTGGCCTCCCTAACGAAGGTCATTATAAACATGAGCTACCTGTGGAAAAGGAGGGACCTCATCACTTCACCTTCAGCCATATGTCTCATGCAGAGCAATGTGGTGTGTGTTTCCTTCGTTCCTGGATTATTATTTGAAAAGCTTTATAATCATCATTTTTAAAGCAAATTAGATTCTGCTGTTGCCTTGGACTTGTTTTGAACCAGGCAGCCAAACCATTCATCACAGCCAAGCCCAAAAAATAGATATGCAATAAAATGTAAACTCACAGCCATTAAGGAAGCCACAAAATGAGTTAACCCAGCCATAAAGGGCTGACACACGGCCACTCGGAGCAAGCAGCATCCAATGGTTTTTCAAAGTCATGGGGACTCAACATGAAATTCCTAGAGCTGTGGGAATGAATTTATGGTTCAGTGAATGTTAAATAGGTAATTGAAATGACACGTATAGGTACAACTTATTACCTAGAAATCAATGGACATTAAAGAAACCTCACTAAAACTCAGAAAGCAATATCTCAAAACATTTCAGCAACAACATTTTGGATTTAATTTAAAAACTAGAGCTGATGGACTGGCATGGGTTGAAACTTTGAAATTATATTTTCTTTTTTTGCCAGGGTCCTTGTGTACTAGGTAGGACGGGGCCTGTGGAGTGCTTCCTGGCAAGACTTGGTCGCTCTGTTAAAGGATGGGTCTAGAGGGCTTTTGCCTGAGAAGTGGGTTGTGTTAAGTTTTTGGTGTTGGGCAGTGGGTTGGGGGGGGAGCAGTCTTCTAAATCATGTTTTCTCATGCAGCTGGCTTAGCTCAGGCTGGGCTAGTGTGTGCCACTGTCTGCAGCTGGCTGAGGGCACTGCCAGGAGCCCCAAGGCTGGTGGCTACCATGCTCAACTGAGCTGGTTCATGGTAGGGTTGCACCATCTTCCTTTCCCTGCAGAGGAGGGCAGAGGCCAGGTACCTCGGCCATGCAAGTCACTCCTGTGTCTGACTGTCACATGGAGCTAAATCTCCCCAATTGCCCATCTCTGTACACTGATGGAAGTGAAATATAAGGGTGGCTTCCCTCTCTCCCTCCATCTATCACCTGGACATTGTCTTCAAGTGGCTTTTGGCTTTCCAGATCATGAGCTGATCTCAGAACTAAGGGCACAGTGTTCTCTCGGCACATGCCCTCCACCCTTCCCAGCAGCACCGCCCCCAACCCCGGCCCACACCAGCCACAGAGCCATCGCTCCTCGCTATGAGGCCGAGGCCCCGGCCCCAGGGTCCTTGGTGAGCAAGATGTGCTCGGGCCCTGTGCATGCATCACAATAAATTAATCTCAAAGTTGCTCATTTCAAAAGCTTTCCAATAATGCATGTTGCTGCACTTTTCTGAACGTTTGGGCTGGGATCATGGGGAAAACATGTTGCTTAAATAGGGATTTTTCTCTCATTTTCAATTCCTTCCAAGCATCTTCTGATTTTTAGAAAGATACTCGTCCTTTTAATTGATCCTGTGAGGGCAACGTATCGGATGGGAATGAAGGGTTTGAGCTGCGAGCTGGGCAGGACATGGGGCTTCACATGCTAATGTTCTGGGGTCGCAGATGCCCCATGTCACGGAGGAGAACTGCAGGGCAGGGCCTGTGTGCAAGCAGGACATCCTCCCTCTGCTCCAGGCAGGCAAGACAGAAAACTGGTTTCATCCTATTATCGCACTACCTCTGTATCCAGGGCATCTCTGTGAAACAGAGGAGACGGCCACCTGGCGAATTTACAGCTGTTTCTGCCGTCACTGCTGCAAAACGGAAGGAAGGTGCAGCTTCACCTTCCACGCCCTTATCCTCTGGGAAGAGGGATGCCCCACACAGGCCAAACACCCCACCAGACATACCACCTTGGGCAGCCCTCCCGCCACCCTGTGCTGGGCACAATGCTAAAATGAAACGCCCAAATCTATCGGGCTCCTTATCTGTGTAAGGTGAGTTCAGCCTCGGTTCAGAGGGCGAGAATGATGCTTTATCCCCCTCCGTTTGGTTCCTGAGTTTTCAATAGTGAGTACCAAAATTCCAGAGAGCAAAACATTATCTCTTTCATTCTTGACTTTGGAGAGCAAGCAACACCTGTGCATGGTCCTAGGTGCTGGTGGAGGCCACGACCATTGCTGTCATGACAGCCTTAACCCCAAAGGGAGAAACTGGTTGCCTCACGGAAGATATGCAGATCATGTGTCCACAAAATCTGCTTCACTGCCCTTGTTCCCTCATAAAACAGCTAAACTGGAGCAGCCAAAGGAGGAATTGAAAATTGGGAGACAGGAGGTGCTGAGAGGCAGAGGTAAGGGTGCTTTCTCCTCCCCTCAGGCTTAGAGAGAGGCCTCTAAGGAGCCTTCCTTGGGAGCTTGCTCTGTGCCCCTGAAGCCAAAGTCAGTGTGCCATCTGAATGATTTTGCTTGTTAATAGCACTTGAGTTAACAGTGGACTCTTAACATTAGGTCCTATAAAACGATACCTCACATTAATCATGTGTCAGCGCTGTGTATCATGACCCAGTTTTATAGATGAAGAGACAAAAACTCAGAGAAGTTATGTGGCTAACCCCCAGTCACACAGCAGAACCATGATTGAACCCAAATGCCTAGTTCCAGAAACTTCTCGTGCATTTCAACACACTTTACAACTCATCGGCATTCTCCATTAAGGAGAGTCTCACTGCTCCACAGCGTGTTTCAAGTCCCTAAATTTCAAGTCCCAGCTCATTGCTCTCCTCCTCTAAGAAGTCTTCCTCGATTTCTCTTCCTTCCACAGAGCCCCACCCATCTTCCTCTGTGTGCTCACAACCGTGAGTTCACCTCTACACAGTAATAAGGCTGTGGCCTGATGGTTCCGTGTCAAACCTGGTTCAAATCCTCATTCCGCCACTTACTAGATACATGACCTTGAACAGTTCTTTACCCCAACTAAAGCTAAGCGTCAAGTTCCTCATCTGTAAAATGGCATAGTAACCACCATAGAGGTGTACTCAGGACTAGTAAGTGCTAAGTGATAAGTAGTAATGAACCAGGTAGGTCAGGGACAGATGTGAAGATTTTTGCATGTTTTC